AGTCATTCACACACATTCACACTCACACCCACACCTTCACACTCACACATCCACACACATTCACACTTGCACATTCACACGCACATTCACACCTATTCACATGCACACACACTCGCACACACATTCACCTCACCATTCACACACATTCATACTCACATTCTCTGACCTGTTCACACATTCACACTACACATTCACTCTCACACATTCATACACCCACACCTTCACAATAACACATTCACATTCATTCACACATTCACACTCACACCCACACCTTCACACACATTCACACTCACATATCCACACACATTCATACTTGCACATTCACACGCACATTCACACCCACTCTCATGCACACACACTTGCACACACATTCACACCATTCACATGCACATTCACACATTCTCTGACCCATTCACACATTCACACCCACACCTTCACACTCACACATTCACACTCACACCCACACCTTCACACTAACACATTCACACACACACATACACACACCCACACCTTCCACACACACACACATCCACACACATTCACATTCATTCACATTCACAATCACATCCACACCTTCACACTCACACATTCACACACATTCACAATCACATTCTCTGACCATTCACACATTCACACCCAAACCTTCACACTCACACATTCACACACATTCACACTCACATATTCACACACATTCACACACCCACACATTCACACTCACACATTCACACACATTCACACATACACACACCTTCACACTCACACCTACACCTTCACACTCACACATTCACACACATTCACAGTCACACATCCACACACATTCACAGTCACACATTCACATGCATTCACACCTACTCTCATGCACACACACACATTCACACCATTCACATGCACATTCACACATTCTCTGACCCATTCACACATTCACACCCACACCTTCACACTCACATATTCACACACATTCACACTCACATTCACACTCACACCCACACTTTCACACATTCACATTCACACACCCACACCTTCACTCACACATGCACATTCACACACCCACATCTTCACACTCACATTCACACACACATTCACTCACACCCATACCTTCACACTCACACATTCACATGCACATTCACACCTATTCTTATGCACACACTCTCACACACATTCACACTCACCATTCACGCACATTCACTCTCACATTATCTGACCCATTCACACAGCTTCACACTCACACATTCACACATTTACTCACATACACACATTCACATTTGCCCATTCACACACATTCACACTCCCACATTTACACACATATATTCACACATTTATACTCATATACACTCACATGTTCACATTCACCCACTCACACGTTTACACTAACACATTCACACATTCACACTCATTCACAGTTACACATTTACATTTATAGTCATGAACATATTCACACATTCACACTCATCCACACACATTTACATTCACATTCACACACACACACACACATACACGTTCACACATCTCCTCGCAGTTCCCATACAGGAAAGCTCCCTAGTCTCAGGGCCCTTTCTGGAAGCCACCATGGAGTGCACATTCCCAGATCTGAGCTCCTAGAATCTGTCTCCCCTTCTCCTCAGAAGCCTCACCCCGATTTTTGTTCAGGTGTTCACCCCTCCCTCACCCAGTTCAGCCCACCTCCAGCTCCAGACCCTATTTGTCTTGAGCCAATCTACAAGTGCCACCCCAGGCCACAGCAACTGGTTCAGGATTCAATGATGCAAAAAAGTAATAATTTCCGGGGTGCTTCTCGGAAGGAAGTATGCAGGCATCAAACTCCGAACTACTCAGCCCCAAGATGAAGCTGCTGCCCAGAGGCCAAGGGGGCCAAGAGCATCTCAGAGGGCCTGAGCCGCAGCCATTCAGCACCCAGCACGCCAGGCACAGCAGCTGAGCAGAGGCACCCAGTGTTTGGCCACCCCTCATGACATCCCTGTATGCAGCCTGATGTTGGGGTGACTGAGGCCAGGGGTATGGGCACTTAAATTCCCAGAGGCAGGGCCAAGGGTCTTCAGGCCAACAAAACTGAGAGAAGCAATACCAACACGATTACCATATTCAATCAAGGACAAGGGCCGAGAGGCCGGGCCAGCAGCAAGGCCAGTGTTGGGGCCGCGGTGGAAGACCGGGGAACTGGCAGGAGGGCGGGGAGCAGGGTCGCTGCCTGCGCCAGTACGGATGCTTCTGAGAGACTCTGACAGCGGAGCTGGTGCGGGGCCTGAGGCCTTGGGGCCATTTGCACTGATAAGGTGTGTGTGGGATCATTTTAGCTTCCAAGTTCCATGACTCAAAATCCTGCTCCTGCCAGCAAACGAGTTTGTAACATAAGAGTAATAAATAAGTAAATTGATTTTCTAAAGATTTCCATGGGATTTCAAAAGTGGCCACACCTTCCAGGAAGCCTCCACGCAGGGCCCGGCCTCCCTCAGGCACCTGGGGTGCTGCAGCCCACCCCACAGCCCCCACACGAGGGGCGGCCTTCCTAGACCTCCCTCTCCAGTCCTGGCTCCAAACCCCACTGTCGCACCAGCCACGCGCTGGCTCCGGGAGGCTGGTGGGGAGCCACACAGAGGGCTGCCTGCGGTGGAACTCTTCCCAGGCTGATGCTCGGCCCTCCCAGGGTGTGGGGTCTGCAAGGCCTCAGACGAGTCCCAGAAGCCACAGCCCTGGCCTGCCTGCTCTGAGAGTCAGGAGCCCTGCCCAGGGTCTGGGCCTCCGAGGCCACCTGTCAGCCCAAATCAAGCCAGACTGCCAAGCCCTCCGGGACATTACATGTCCAGCTGCCAGGCACGGAGAGCAGCCCGCACCTCTCCCGGCCTCCACCGTGGCTCACCTTCACTCCGCCTGCTACTATTTCCTCCATCCCATCCTGGCCTGGGCCTTCTGCTCTGCCCGGCCCTTCAGCTCACTAGCCTGTTTGTTCATGCTGCCTGGCTCTGAATCCCCCTTGCGCTGCCATGAACCTAGTGACACCCCGGCTCCCAGACACACATCTCAGTTCAGACTTTGGGCCGCTGCCCCTCCCCAGCAGCGTGGGAACCTCACACCTGGCCTCCCTCCCTCTGGAGCCACAGGCTCCCCATCCCCGATCCTGGCCCTGCTCCCTCTGGCAAGAAGCTCCCTGCAGGCACTGACCGTGTGGTACAGAGCAGGGCTGCTCCTTACCCCAGTGGCGAGGGCTGGGGGTAAAGCTGAAAGCTGCCATGGGACAATCTTATATTGTCATAAAAACTTATCTAAATGCTTTCTCCCAGAGAATGTGTTTTAGATGAAGTTTGTTTTTATTTTGTTTTGTTTTTTAATTTTCAGGTTGAAATAAAAGCAACGACTCCCCGTGATGGCACTGTGACTGCACACCTCACAAAGCCCAGGGCGTGTGCACCCAAGCTCAGAAGTGGGCTGGGCTCCAAGCTGGCTCCACCCACAATGAGCCGTGGACCTTGGGCAGGGAAATGAGGCTCCACCCACAATGAGCCGTGGACCTTGGGCAGGGAAATGAGGCT